TCTCAATGGGATTTGCCTGGTAAAATAACAGTAAATAAATAAAAAATAAAATAAATAAATAAAACATGCTTTTAAGGTACATTATCTCATTTTTACTAAAAGCAAGAAGTTTCTTGTGTCTGAAGGACTGATGACCCAGCAGGACTTCCAGATCCTTTGTCTTCAGAAGCCGTCTGTTTAACATGATCTGGGTCAATGAACAGTAAGACAGATTCAACAACTGTCTGAACTCAAAGCTTCAAATCATTTCAGACACTGTAAGACAGAATCCTTCCCGTCTTAATAAGCCTAAAACAAATACCCAGAAATGTCCCTGTCTCCAGAGACAACTCATCCAGTATTATAGTACCACTGAAACATCAACCTCCCTGACATCTGATTCAGTTTTTGTTCTTTTGATTTTGCAGCCGATGATAAGAACGCTCAGAGACATCTGTCTGGCTGGGCCATGAGAAACACCAACAATCACAACTGTCAGATCCTGAAGAAGTCTTGTTTGGGTGTGGTGGTCTGTTCTCGAGGCTGTACGCTGACAGACGGATCCAGACTGCAGCTCCGTCCTGCCATTTGTGACAAGGCGCGGCAAAAACAGCAGAGTAAGAAAAACCATAACCAGACTTGGACTGCATGTTCTTTGAGTCAGCTTTGACCTGATCAGACTGTGTTTCAGAGAAGCTGTGTCCGAACTGTAACGCTGCTCTGGAGCTGCTGCCTTGTCGAGGTCACAGCGGGTACCCCGTTACCAACTTCTGGAGGGTGGACGGAAAGGCCATCTTCTTCCAGGTGAGCCTTTCATCAGACCGCCAACATGATTAAACCCTTAACAGTTGCCCCTGAAATTCCTTAAAATGGTAAATGGTCTACTGGTATAGCTCCTTTCTATCCATCCAGGACACTCAGAGCTCTTCACTCTACAATCTGTGTCCTCATTCATCCATTCACACAGCACTCTGCTCGGTCTACAAAGATAACATGTACAAATCAACCTATGGAGACTAACCAGAGCCAATCACATTCATACTCTGATGGGACACATCAGAGGCAGTGGAGGTGAAATGTCTTGCCCAAGGACACAACTAGTGAGACAGTTAGAATGGGGAATCAAACAGGCAACTTAGTGGTTCCAGGAAGACTCCTCTAACCACTCTGCCACAGCCGCCCCAAAAGCCTTCTGACATTTTTTTTATTTTTTGTAAGGTTGTTACTTTAAAGGTAAGAACTGGAGGAAATCATCTGACATCCTGGTTTACAAAGAAAAGCCCCYGCAAGGCAGAAACTGCACCGGTTTTACCCACCGGTGGAACAAAGACCAATAAGGGGCCAAATCCACACTGCAGCCAAGATGACCGAGTCCAGAAAGAACATCTGATCAGGTCTACATCCTGTTGGAAACGGACAGGTCTGAGTCCTGGTAAAAACCAGACCCTTGTTCTGCACTGCTTCACACAGAGGGTCTGGACTCTGTTGAAGTTTAAAAACTGTGGATCTGATTCTACCCAGTCACTAAAGTTTGCCCATGACAAACAGAATGCAGCAGCTTGACGATTAAGGAAGCTAAGCTAACAAGCTAACCAGAAATTGAATGCGCTGTAAACAAGCATCCTCTACTGGCAACAGAGATGTACTGAGCTGAATGAGACGACTGTAAGTGATCCTGCAGGCTTTGTGAGACTAATTTAATTTAATTTGGAGGCCTTGTCCACGTGGACTGAATGACTTCACTCACTTCCTCCACTGCCATTGCTAGACTACAGGCAAACTAAAACAGTGTAGAAAATCAAAATCATTGTTTCGCTGATTGGCTCAGCTGAAATCCATGTTGATGGGAGAAATCCCACAGAGGAGAGGAGGGAAATTAGACTCAAGCAGACTGCGACCAAAGGAATCATAAGTCTAGACTCTAAGACTCATAAATGTCTGAAACAGAACTGGATCCTGAGAGTCTAAAAAGTGTTTTTTCTCAACTTCAGATCAGTTTCTTTAGATATTAGGGTTTACCATATCAAATGAATGAGAGAGCTCTGTTCATTTGAATGGCAGCATCTATTGTTCTCCACCTCAGATAAAGGATCTCTATCCTTCATGCCTGAACGGCAACACGCACCCCTACAAATGTTACATCAAAATGACTGGCTCGGTGGTGGGAGGTGTGCTATAACTTTTAGTGATGTTTCAGGTTTCCAAGACAATGTAAAACACAAGAAACTACTGTCAAAACACCTTATAGGAATTCACTGAGCAGAGCTCCCAACTGACTTTAATGTGCCTGTGACATGCACATCCATGAAATACAAAAAGTCTAAGAAAATATGTTTATATTTAGGCAACTTGCCATAATACACGATTTGACTCATTATGTCACATAATTGGTAAATTTTCTTTTGCATTTTGCTCAGCTAAAGTGAAACAGGAAGTGACATTAAAGGGGAACTCTTTGAGAAATAAACTATTTTATGTTTATTGAAACAATATTATTCAAACTGACTTTTTCTCATCTCTCTATGATAGTGATTAAAATAATCTAAAGAAACATCAGAYTCTTCTCTACAGTCTGTGCTGTTAGCCATTTTAGCAACACTCTTGTTTACATGCAGACATTCCCCTCTGACATCACTTCCTGTTTCTTTACATGTGAATATCTCAACAACCGTTCATCTGAGTGGCATGAAATCTTTTTTACAATATGTTGTGAATGTTATCTTTCCAAAAATACATTCATATGTCTGGCTGTCTGGCTTAAAAGATTTCTTAACAAACAACTTCTTATGGCCATAAATTTTATGATACACAGATAAACTACTGTATATATCAAAACATACATTTTTATCTTCTTTCAGCCAATTTTTCWGKTTTTTATGTRGGACAAATGGTTTTCTCTCAATGTACCTCAGAAGTCAGGGAAGTGCCACTTCTTGTCCTGTTTTCAATGGTTCAATTTATCTCACAATACAGTTCAGAAATAAATAAAAAATAAAGTACAGTAACATTTCAAAAACTTCCATGAGGAAGAACCATTGGGCCTCATGTAAGAACCGTTGGTACACAGATTTGTTCTTAAGTTGTGCGTACGAGTG